AATTCGAATGTGGTTTATGGTTTATCGGCTATCTAAGACTCAATCCATAAATAAATTCTATTATGAATGGAATCTTGTGTTTACCTCAATATTAAGGTCATAATCTGTCATCACATTAATTTTCGGATATGTTGACTAGAATAGAAAAATTCGATGGTAAACATACTTGAAATAATAATAACAATACCTTCTAGGTATGTAGGTAAGAGACACAAAAAGTAAAATTATGTCAGTATGAATATTTTAATAATTAAATTGTCTCAATATGAGAATGATTTAGACAATGGATTTTGGCAAAATTTGTGGTTGAAGGGAGGAAGGCTGGATTATCAAAACAGTCACATTCATTTTAAAAAAATTATTTGAGCTGATACGTTCAATTCATGTTCGACAGACTTATCGAAAGTCTAGGGGTGTGCATATTAAAGCACGTTCAAAAATTTAAATTCGAAAAACCGTTACAATTTTTTGTCATTTTAATCAAGTTTTTGATAGTTTTGAAAACAGAATTAGCTTTATTATGCTTAATACCAAATGATAAAATAATATTTTCATCAAAAATTCAAGAAAAAATTGCTAAATTTAAGATTTTAATTTTTGTCCTAATTTTCGAAAATTTCGAACTGCAGGGTATGAAACTTCGAATTTTGCATGGCAGACAGACAAATAAGACATTTTTGCAAGTGTTCTTGGAAACTGTAACGGTCGAAACTCTTGAATTGTTCGTATCAGTATTTAAGGTTATCTTATGGCATCCAGCATTAGTATAGGGGCCGTTCACTTATTATGTTACGAAAAAATCCGACTTTTTTCACCCCCCCCCCCCTCCCCCAACATGTTACAACTTACAACCCCCCCCCCCCCCTGAACGTTCATAATTCAAATTTTTTTCGTGAACTTTTTTTTAAAAGATAGACGACAGTTAGAACGTTACATTCTTCTTGACACCCCCCCCCCCCTATGTTACATTTTGTTACCATTTTTCAAGCCCCCCCCCTCCCCCTTAAAATTCGAACGTAATAAGTGAACGGCCCCATAGACAAAACCATCTTAAATTCGTGACCGATTGAAGGAGGGGTTCTTTAAAAATTGTTAATTTCTATGTTTTGTAAGTCTCCATGTCAAAGCTACATTCAACTTAAAACCTTGAAATTCGCTATAACCTCAAACCACAATCTTTTATCGAACCTAACCTCAAACTTCCATCTTCCTCTCAATATTATGCATCAATGAAATGAATAAATGATAAGATTATTAAATAAATAAATAATTGATTGGCATGCCATATCCAAAAAAAAATATTCAAGAGAAATTTCATTTCATAAGCAAACAATAATGTACTTAAAGCCTCGAGTAGCAAAAATCTGTATTGTATAAAGGTTAACGAAACGTAACATCCAATTTTCATTTTCTCTAAGGACAAACGAGAAGAATAAGAAGAGAAAGTAAAGCCAAAAACAGGGGATATGGCTGGAAACTTTTTTTTTTCACAAGTGTCTGAGATTTTGTTCATATAATAGAGACATCCAGAAGACGATCGTAATCATAGTCTACAAATCCATTTTTATTACATGTTGTTATTTATGTATTTATGAGTGCCATCGTTTTCAGTCGAATAAATTTTCTACACTAATGTGGAAGTACGTATCATGCATGCTCATAAATAAGGACGTGTGTTCACTTGCTTGTCTGTTTTTCCTTCTCACTTTTGCCGCTTCTATTTTACTGCGAAATCATGATATCACTAGAATTATAATTTCTAATTAATAGTTTCTATTTGCACTATCTAGCTTAATGTTTTCTCATTATTATGTTGATGACCTTTCAGTTAGCATAAATTGACTTCTGATGAATAGGTGGAAAGGATGAGGAATTTGTTGCTGCGTTTTGATATTTTTAAAGCTAGGAAACTCAACAAATGTCAATTATTTGAATTTATTGTTCAAATATTACTCCGAATATATATGTTTGAGCCACAGCAATCAGCAGAAGCTTCTCAATCATTTCATTTTCAAGATTTTAATAAAACCACAATACTTTGACTATAATTTGCAACTTTACTTTGATCTTCAATCAAAGAGCTGATTCCAATTAAAATTGCATTGCAACAAAGCAATAAAAATTAATAGTAAGCTCATTAACAAACATTAAATTGACCTTTTCTACCTCCACTCATTATCTAGTGGCATTAAATTGCACAACAATATTAAATGAAACCACATAAGTCAAAACCATAACAAACACGTGTACACAAACATTAAATTACTTGAATTTTTTGCTACCATTAATCGCCTACAGGAAAGATCCTTCAAAACGCGTCTACGTTGTTGAAGATGCTTGCTTATTCATAATTTAAAGGTTTCAACAAATATTTTAAACAATTTGCTCTTTTGAAATTCTATAGAATTTTTTTAGAAGTTTTCATTTACTTGCTTTGCAAGCTGTACAGATCAACTGTGTCAAGGACGAAACCGAGTAAGGTGTTAAGGGTTTAAGTGATGGTTAAGACTTTAAATCTGATTGTTCCTTGTAAATTATTTTTAAGGCGTGGAAACTATCCCAAATATCCCATTTATCCCAAAAATATTCAAAATAATCCCTGAGTCTGTATGCATTAGAATTGAGATCCCCCCTACGAAAATCTGATAATTGTTTTATTAAGTATTTATAGAGAAGAACCAGTTAATGTAGAGGAAGTGATGAAAGAAATGTCAAAATCAGCACGAAAAATTAAATTTAATGTATGAATAATGAATTAAATATTTAAACTTATGAAGAATGAATATAGATTTAAGGATACAAAATAACGGTTTTTTAATTTTCCAAAATGGGCCCCCCTCTTAAAAATTTTCTGGCAACGCCCCTGACAACGATGTTTATTCTTCAGTGATCAAAAACAGACCAAATATTTTTATGAAGGGGCTAACATTTATACAAGGGAAGTCAACTAATTATAGTTGCAAATATAATTTAAATATGAAATGACCGTTAATATATTCTCAACAAATAGTTTCAAGTTATTTCAAAGGTGTTTGTGTCAAGCTATCAAGCTACCATAGCTCTTCATCAACCACTATCATTATTTGCCCATCCAACTACACTCAAAAGCTCTGTGCTGTGGAAAATTTCAAGTGAAAAAAAGCAGCAACATTATTTACACACTCAAAACAGTTCCTAGAAGTGCAATCATAACAAGAACGACATAAAACTTTCGACTTTAATAGACTTGAAGCTTCGCACAGCTTACAATGTCTGATATTTCAAAGTAATTTGTGATGTTGTGTAAATATGCAAATAAACACATCTTCCATATACTCTCGCATGTTTTCATCGTCAGTACAATTTATTTCACTTTTCTTCTATGCTACATGCATGAAGACGGAAAGAAACCTTTATTATGTATGACAAGGACTTCCATATTCATAAGCTCTATATATTACTGTTGTTATCCAATGAGCATAGAACGAAAGAAAAGCGGCAATGTATGAAAATGTAGGAAAAATATAAGAAATTGCTTTCTATAAAGAGAATTATGAGATAGCAGAGTCAACTTGGAAGTGAAAAGCGACATTCTTTGAAATCAACAAAAACAAAAGAAATATGTTTGTATGAATGTTTGATTTGACTAAGCTGCATATGAGTAAATTAATGTGCCTGTTGGGTAAGCTTTGAACAAGCAACGCAACGTCTTCGAATTTTTTTTTTTTTCATTTTAATTGCACTTTATTGCATTCATTGACTTCATACTGTCCGGAAATAATTCACATTTTAAACTTTTGTATTTGTATACATATGAATTAATATTATGTAGGATCAAACTTCTAATCTTCAAATCTAGGTTTCAAATAAACTAAGGCTCTCGTTTCGATCTTCTGTAGGCGTGACGTGATACTTTTCAGGTCCGTTCTAACAATATTCCATTCGTGGGTAATCTTGTAGCTCTCGTTCCTATTCCTCTGCTATACTTCAAGTTCCTGACCCGTTCCTTAATCCAACGTTGCCCAAATGCCCAATTATGGCTTGATCTCCTACATTAAGCTGTCGAAGTATCTAAACTTCCGAAAAAGAACAAATTTGGAAATGGCTGGATTCGAACCGACGACCTACGAGTTACCATCCCAAATTTGAGCCAAGCGCCTTACCCATTCGACCAGCAAGGCACTTAACTGATTAAAGCTTCAATTTTGCATTCTAAAAGTTTAAAATGTTGAACGCAATAGCTTTTAAATCAACTTTAACTAAAACGTTGTCTTCAACCTCGATGTTAAATAAGCAAACAACGAAAACAAGGCCTTGTCTGTCTATCAAGGCAGTCAACAAAATCGATAACGTACAAAATTCTAATTCCATTTAAATTAGCCTCTTGTTGCTGTTTAAACTTTTCAATCATCAGCTACAGAAGACAATGTACAGCTCGGGATTACGAACCAAAACCAAGTATATCCATTTCTGTACATTTCGCAGAACAAAAGAGGGAAAAGAATTGTCATTGAATATAATCAGGTTACTCTATTTATTTCAAAATATGTTGTGCGTCAGAATGTTTTCTTTATGTATATAAATTATTTCTGACGACATGTTTGTATGAATGCTTGTACATTGTGTTCTGTATATGATGTATAAAGGGGTCGTTTCCAAATTATGTAACGTAAAAAAATTACTTTATCGACTCTCTGTCAATTTTTTTGTTTGAACTGTCACAAAATTTTCTACTCTCACACCCTGAAGCGTGACGTAATTTGTGAATGACCCCTGATCATAATATGAATATTATGATGTCTTGTTTTTTAAAAACAAGAATTTAATATTGAAAAATAAGAAGGAAAAAGCTTTTCATATCCTCCAGAAATGTAAAAACGTAATTCCATGTTTATTGTAAACAAAATTAAATCACGAATCAAGTTTACGGTTGAAATCCTTTTTGGGACCGTTAATAAGTGTGGTTCTAGCTTACGTTAATTAAAGGTTCTGCTTATTCTTATATTTAACTTTATTTATCCCTAAAAATACATCTGATCATCAATAATGATACTGTCTCGATAACAATACAACAATCTGACTTACAGCTTTGTATCAATATTAATGCTTCTTTAAGGTATTAATCTTTTTCTTAGATTTTGTACAAAAGGCATACTTAATTTTCTAATCAAATTTTTTTTTTCATCAATTTTCTTTGATCATTTGCACTTTGGTGTCTTAAAATTTAGAATTTTGTGTTCAAAACTATGTAGATCTAGTTATTACATACGTAGATTTTGTCTTTTTGATAGTTTCTTCACATGATTTAATGAAGTAATAAGGAATTTAATGTATAAAGTCTATAAAAATAAATGTTTCAAGAATATTTACCAAATAACTAATCATTTGGAGATCACTTTTTCTTAAAAAATTAATAATTAATACTCAGGTACGGCATATTTTTATAATCACTGCGTGTTGTCAAATTTTTTAACGAAGTCTTTGACGCTTCGGTGGATTTTCATCTTCATGGATGCTCACATTAACTAATGTCTTTTCTAATTCATCTGTTCCATCATCCATATAGTCTATAATATTAACATTATTAGCGCCATAAGCACGCTCCAATCGTTGACGAACTTTTTCGTCTTTGAGCCATCGATGGTCAAGAAGTTGATGGGCTGTCATTCTGTTCTTTGCATTTACTTGCAGCATAAAATTTATGATATTTTTTGCGGTCGGCATCTGTTGGAATATGGCCAATGATTTAAAAGTGATGCTAAGTAATGAAAATTCTTTAAACTTACCCGATTCCAGATGTGTGGCGGTAGAAATTCATATTTTCCGCTTAAAATATGATCGCGCAACGATTGATGGTGAGTTTTTGTGAATGGCATTCTTCCTGTCAAGTTTAACACACAGACATTACAAATTATGAATAAATAAATATGAAGTATTAAGTGATTACCTGTTAGCATAGCGTAAAGAAATACTCCTGACGACCAGATATCGACTGCATTTGTGTAATGTGAACGTTTCTTGAGAATTTCAGGCGCTGGAAGTAAGATTAGGAGATGAAACAGTTATAGTGTATTTAACGGCTTTTTTTGATTTAAATTACAATTTAAGATTCACTGACTCTGGAACGGAAGCCATGTGAAGACATTTGTGATGCCGTGTGAAGACAAAAATTTAAGGAGTGTTGACAAGGTGGTTGTCAGTTGTGAGGTGGGTGTCAGGTATATTTTGTGAAGCCAATGATTTGAGGGGGTTTGTGGGAAAAGTTTGGTGTCAGGAATATTTTGTGAAGCTATATAAAATGTTGTGAAGCCATGTGATGTTTTGTGAAGCCATGCGAAGCTTTGTGAAAAAACATGGTGGGTTCCGGGGGAATTAAAGTTTTAGTGGGATTAAGGGGGTCCGAGTTTGAGGGGGTTTGTGAAGCCATTTATAAAATTATTGTGGGATTAAGGGGGTTACATAATAGTAATCAAATTTTAACCCTGATAAGAGGCGCCACGGGCGCCTCCGGATAGCCTAGTTTATAATATAATTCAACGAATTTACTGAAGTTCAAATTTTAACGGATTTTAAAAATTCAAATGACTTAATTTAAAGATCAAAAATTGAACCAAAGAATTCAAAATAATTTTAAACCGATTCTCAAACTAATTATTTCCAAGTCTATAATTTTATAAAAAAATTAATGCTTACTTACCAACATAAACTTCAGTTCCACATTGAGTCTTCATTGTATCATTCATTTTGCTCAATCCAAAATCAGCAATCGACAGCAACGGCGAATCAGTACGATCGCTCAATAAAATATTTTCAGGCTTAATGTCACGATGTGTAACTCCTTTGGAGTGCAAATATTTTAATCCGGAAATCAGTTGAAGAAAGAAATACTTTGCATCATCTTCACTTAAGCATTTATGTGGTTGTTGAATGATTTTTGAAAGCAAGTCACCGCCTTTCATGAACGGAAACACGAGAAGTAGTTGTTGTGTACTTTCATAAACTTTGAATAGACTTAAAACATGAGCATGATTGATTTTCTCCATAATTGTCACTTCATTTAAGAGCGCATTGTATGCTTCTTCTGTATCTTTTGAAAGTGATTCCTTTGGTTTGTTGACACACTTTACAGCATAGACATTGAATATGGTTGTGTTATTCTCGCCAGTTGAGGGAATTAAGCCATAAAGTTTACGTACTTGACCACATGCGCCTGTGCCTGTAAAATAGAAGTGGATGTTAATATATTTATATGCTATTCAGCCACAAAATACTGACCAACGACCTCGCCAATATAGAATCCTGAGTGTATTTCACAGCTCTTTTCGATATTCCCTTCCTCACACTTAGTATACGTAAATTGGAATAGTTTAACACCCGGCGATAAAAAGATCCAGTCGCCATCCTTTATAATCCGTTTATCTTCTGGTTTCATCTTGCTGCTCTTTCCAACATAGATTCCATTTCGTCCTGTGCATGTTATGACTGCTGGCTCACAATCTTTCTTACTATCTGGTTCCTTTTTGCGTTCAATAATAAAATGATTCTTGGAGATTCGATCGTAAACAGATCTTTTCATCTTTTTATCGTCAAAAATATAATTTTCGTCTTTCATGTCTTTATTTGCATACGGCTCACGTCCAAAATATGTCTTTTCAGCTTTTAATAAGAAATAATCACCATTCACGTCTTTAAGAGTTGCCCAATTGCTGTCATAATCCTCACAAGTATAATATTGCTGAGATTGAGTTAATTGCGAATCCATCGGTTGCGTATCAGCAACTTTCATGTTGTTTCCGTCCATTTCTATGCCTTAAATTTATATTGAACTGTAAGATTGAAGAGTTATGTTTATGAATATTTAATTATATTATGTTAATTATGGCTATTTATTACCTTTTCTTAATAATTAATTCCTTCAACTGGAATCCAATGTGTTTTTAACCGCCTTTTTCCATGAATTGAAACTCTTTGAATTACTGACATGGATTGTTTTTGTACAACTTTTCGAATTTCTTGCAAACTGACGATTGTCATGCAAATCAGAATACTCAGAATCATTATGCATGATAATTTAATGTCAGCACAAAGAAAGTTGCATTGCAATCCTTGCTATTTAATTAGATTTGATAAAAATAACAAATTTTTCGCACGGATCAGAAAACATTTGTGGGGTTCTCGAGTGAAGAAAAAGAAAAATTTGTAAAGTTTTCATAGACAAAAACAACAATTTCATCATTTTGTGATTTTCCAAGAAATTAAATATAATTAGCAATGAAAGCTCGATTTAATACATTCGATATAGTTTGTGCCTTAGCGGAACTAAAGTTGTAAGTACAATGATCATCATCAAGTCAATAAATAATCATTAATTCATATATATCTCCATTTTCAGCCTTGTTGGTCACAGAGTAAATCAGATTTACGACATTGACAATAAGACTTATTTAATTCGTTTGCATAATAATGAAGAGAAGAATGTTTTACTGCTTGAGTCAGGCACAAGAATTCAAAAGACAGCATTCGATTGGCCCAAATCACTTTCACCTTCAGGTTTCACAATGAAGCTTCGAAAACACTTGAAAAATAAGCGATTAGAGATGATTGAACAGATGGGAAGTGACAGAATTATTGATCTACAATTTGGTACAGGCGAAGCTGCATATCACGTCATTCTAGAACTTTATGATCGAGGAAATATCATTTTATGTGATTACACTTATTTAATTTTGAATGTTCTCCGTCCACATACTGAAGGCGAAGAGATTAGATTTGCTGTCCGTGAAATATATCCACTATCTAGAGCACGTTCGACTGATGATCAGCCAAATATGGATTTTATTAAAGAGAAAATGAGAGAAGGAAAGCCAGGCGATACAATTCGTACGATTTTAAATCCACATTTGCCTTTTGGTGCTTCATTAATTGATCATTGCTTGATAACTTATGGACTTATTGACTGTAAAATTGGTGGTGAACAAAAGGAAGACGAAGTTCCAGATCAAGAAGGTCAAAAGAAAAATAAAAAGAAGAAGAATCGCAATAAGGAAGCAAATCCAGCATTAAGAGACTTTAAGTTTGATGATGACACGCCATTGCTGATGAATGCTATTAATGACATGTACACAATGATGAAAAATGGACGAGATGAGCCATCAAAAGGTTATTTAATCCAAAAGAAGGAAGCTAAACCATCCACAGATGGAAATGAAGAATATTTCTACACAAATATTGAATTCCAGCCTTATTTATACAATCAATATCTAAAAGAGCCTGTAAAGGAGTTCCCAACATTCTTACAAGCTGTCGATGAATTTTATTCAAGTTTAGAGAGTCAAAAAATTGACTTAAAAGCTATTCAGCAAGAACGAGATGTGATTAAGAAGCTTACACACATCAGAAATGACCACATAAAGCGTATTGATGATTTAGCCAAGGCACAACAAGCTGATCGCTACAAAGCTGAACTTATTACAAGAAATCAAATTTTAGTTGACAGTGCAATTTATGCAATGCGTTCCTTAATCGCCAGACAACTCTCATGGACTGAAATTAAAGATTTATTAAAGGAACGGCAAGAGCAGCATGATCCGATTGCTGTAAGAATCCGTCAACTAAAGCTTGAGACAAATCACATCAGTTTATATCTAGAAGATCCATACCAAAGTCTTGAAAATGATTCTGATGACGAGCTTGAAGAAGGAGAACAGCAGTTGATGCCACAGACAGTTGACATTGACTTGTCACTCACTGCTTACTCAAATGCTACGAGATATTATGAACAGAAGAGAACGGCTGCAAAAAAGGAACAGAAAACAATTGAAGCTGGTGACAAGGCACTTAAATCAGCTGAAAGAAAGACTAAGCAAGCATTAAAGGACGTTAAGATCCAAACAACAATCACAAAAGCAAGAAAAGTTTATTGGTTTGAGAAGTTTTATTGGTTTATTTCGTCTGAGAATTTCCTCGTTATTGGTGGACGTGATCAACAGCAGAATGAGGTAATTGTAAAGAAGTATATGCGTGAAAAGGATGTTTATGTGCATGCTGAGATCCAAGGTGCCTCATCTGTTGTCATTAAAAATCCAAGTGGTGAAGAAATTCCTCCAAAAACTTTACTTGAAGCTGGAACAATGGCTATTTCATACAGTGTTGCTTGGGACTCAAAAATTGTCACTAATGCTTATTGGGTTAGAAGTGATCAGGTGTCGAAAACAGCACCTTCGGGTAAATATGAAATTGTGTTATTATCTGATGACAACATAATAATTCTCAAGATTAATTCTGATGAATGTTGCGTGACATGGATGTAACAAAACCAGAATAATTCTGAAGAACTTATTTTTATTCTCCAGAATTATTCTGCTGAATTTTTTTTTCAGAATTTCACAAAACAAATCAGAAACATTTTTTTTTCCAAATTCTCCATAATTAAAAGTTCTGATGAACAACTTTATGAGAATGTGATTAAAGACACAATTACAAATTAATATGGAAATTAAAATAGGAGTTCAACATTTTTCAGAGTTCTGAACACAATTCAATTCAATTTCAATTTATTCATCTTAAATTGTGCAACAGTGTTACCAAAAACTTTAAGCGTTACACTTTTATTTTTAACATTAATAATTCTTAAATCTATATTATGTACGCTAGCTCAGTGTTTAGCACATAATCTTCACTAAGCAGTTGTTTGTCTAGAGTACCCAATTAAAAACTGTTATAGATCTTTAGAACTAGTGTCCATATCGGCTCTCGTTTCAATTTTCATTAGATCACAATGTCTCCAGATCCGTATTAGTAAAAGCCATTCATGGTGAATTTACAGCTCTCGTATCTTTCTCATTCTGTCTACATAATTTTTGATTTATTCCCACATCTCACATTGCCGAATTCTTAGTTTTACGTCTTAAACTGCTGCACCTAAGAAACCGAAGTATCTAAACTTCTGAAAATCACTAGGCTGGTGATGGGATTTGAACCCAAGAGTACAAATTTGACTCGAAATTTTGTGACCTGTACCTTGCCAACTGAGCTATCAAGGCACTTTTGCATCCGTTTTTGCAACGTAGTATTAGTTTGCAGCGTCATATTTTGATAAACGGATCATCACTTTATAATAACGGAGATATAATAAGTTCCAAATAAAGCTAAAAAATTTAATGACCAATAAAAATCTAGTAGATAAACAATTGTCGAATTGTCATTAATGCTGAATAACGGAGCCAAAAAAATAATTCTTAAATTGTTCCTCGAATTTTTAAAGAATTGCTCAGTTTGTGGCTGTTCAACCACGATACCTAGCAATAATTAAATTTACACGTTGAAGAAAATGGATAACAAAATCAAATATTTTGCGTCTTTTAATTATTTACTTTAAAAAATAATCGTGTCGAATTCGATCTCGAAAATTGAATATTCAAAAATTTCATCAACTTTTATACGCTTTTGTATATAATCTTCAATTGAAGTTTTAATAATGAATAATTTTTTCGAACTATTCAAGGCTTTAAACCAGAGGAGCAGAAGGAAAATATTGGCAAAGTCAAAAGCAATTCCTTTTAAAATCTGTTTCAAACTTAGGGGCCATTCACTTATTACGTAACGCTTTTAGGGGGGGGGTCTAAGATTTTGTTACGGTTCAAACAAGGAAATTTTTTTTTCATACAAATTTTGTTACGAGGGGGGGGGGGGTCTAAAAAGTCATTTTTTCGCGTTACGTAATAAGTGAACAGCCCCTTAGTGAAACACTGAAAAATGTTGTACTCCTATTTTAATTTCCATATTATTGTATTATTGTATTAATTGTATCTTTAATGTTATATTCTCATAAAGTTGTTCATCAGAACTTTTAATTATGGAGAATTTGGAAAAAAAAATGTTTCTGATTTGTTTTGTGAAATTCTGAAAAAAAATTCAACAGAATAATTCTGCAGAATAAAAATAAGTTCTTCAGAATTATTCTGGCTTTGTTACATCCATGTCACGCAACATTCATCAGAATTAATCTTCAGAATTATTATGTTGTCATCAGAATTATTATGCAGAATTTATCAGAATAATTCTGCAGAATTGTTGCGCAACTGTTGAGCAACAGATTCTTGGAGAGTTGAAATTCAAATTTTTTTAATCCGCTAAAATTCAAACCGTTATAAACCGTTAATAATTTTAATTCTTAATACACAGGTGAATATTTATCAACTGGTAGCTTCATGATCCGCGGCAAGAAAAACTTCCTTCCACCATGCCATCTTATGCTTGGCTTGAGTTTTCTATTCAAATTAGAAGACGGTTCCATTGAAAGGCACAAAGGTGAAAGAAAGGTAAGAAAATTTGACGATGACACAGCAAGCATTATGACTGAGCAAGAAGAATCGATACACGAAGACGAAGAAATTCGTCTAGAGTCAGACGGCGAGAGTGATGGTGATGAACAGCAAGAAGAATCATCAGAAAAGCAAGAAGTGGCTCAAAAATTGACAGATTTGGTTATTGAGGAAGAAAATGAAGAATCGAGCAGTGACGAGGATAGTAACGCATTTCCAAACACACATATTAAGATTGAGCACAATACAGGAAAGGTTGATATAAAGCCTGACCCAAAACTTGAAAGAATGATGTCTGAAAGTGCCAAAAATGAGGATGAAGAAGCAACACTGATTCAAGCAGCGCCACTAAAGGTAAAGAAAATGGAAAAGAAATTAAAGCCACAAAAGAAAAATAAACAGCAACAACAACAAGAGCAACAAGAAGTTAAAGATGATAAAAGTGGACCAAAACGTGGTCAAAAAGGAAAAATGAAGAAAATTAAGCAAAAGTATGGCGACCAAGATGAAGAGGAAAGAGCTTTAGTTATGGAAATATTAAAATCATCTGGATCTGGTAAAGACAGCCGTAAAACGAAAAAGCAGGAAGAAGAAGAAACTTTCCAAAAGTCAAAGGCAAGAAATCCACAACCGAAACCAAAACAAGTTGAAGATGCTGACGATACGCCAATTAATGATGAATTAGACATGTTAGAGTCTCTCACTGGCTTGCCAGCTGACGAGGATGAACTTTTATTTGCTGTTCCCGTCGTTGCTCCATATCAGACTCTTCATAACTATAAGTGAGTATTTTATTGCTAATCAACATGTTTTGTAACTTGATTTATACTTAATTTTGTGTCCATGCACAGATACAAGGTAAAATTGACACCAGGAACTGGAAAGCGTGGTAAAGCAGCGAAAATGGCAGTTCAAATCTTCCTTAAAGATAAGACTTGCACTAATCGTGAAAAGGATTTGTTAAAGTCTGTGAAGGATGAAGTATTGGCTAGAAATATTCCAGGAAAAGTTAAAATATCTGCTCCACAAATGCTAAAAGTCAAAAAGTAAATTTATAGTTTACATTTTCACATGGAATTAAATTTTGTGAATTAAAATATTTTTGAGTTTCTTTTGTTACGAAGGTTTAATAAAATTATGTTTAAATCCTTAACTTTCGATTCCTTGGTAAATTGTTAAGTTTAACCATTTTTAAAGTGTTAAAGAAACTTCAAGTCAACAAAAACATTTCAAATAAAAATTGACAGAGATTCCTTTCAAGCTTCCTTTGACAGAAAACACAGGAGTCTGCAAGTCAAAAAACTTAACCAAGAATAGTCAAGATCCAGCTGCAATTCTCAAACGGAACAAATGATTACAAACCCTTAAAATGTGCCAGAATATTTGAGCCGCTCAAAACAAATATCAACGATATTGAGGCTTAAAATAATACAATCTGCTGAGGGGTTATCAAGAATATTTGAACTTATAACAGGAAAGACATCCATGATGATGAAATCGAACCATCACATTAGGGGCCGTGATACAACTCACAACCCCCCCCCCCCCCCCTGAACGTTCATAATTTATTTTATCATTAAAAAGGTGGAAAATTGAAAAAATGTTTTTGGTGTGATTTTGTAAACAAATTTTTTTCGTGAACTTTTTTTAAAAGACAGACGACAGTTAGAACGTTACATACTTCTTGACCCCCCCCCCCTTTAAATCGAGAGTAAACTGCATCAAGATAAACAATTAATAATCTAATTCAAATGCTTCAAGCGAGAAGTATAAAAGAACATAGAAATAAAATCAAATCAATAGTTACAGCTTTATCTCGCATGAATACGGATGAACAAAAGAGCGACCGTAGAATTAAAAAGTAATTGATAATAGTTTTGTTTTACAATTCTAACATTTGCTTTGGATTTTTAAAGTTGAAAAGTGGTAAATTTAATTGACAATTGTGAAGTAACGGTCTTTTCGCTTAAATATTTCTTGCTTGATTTCCGACTTATCGAACTGATTCGAAATTCGACCTTTTTTCCCACTTTTATTTCATCCTTCGAGCGACATGTTAGTCCCGACAATTGTAAGAAATAATATTAATTAAATTCACATTTATATTCATTACAGCGATAAAATCGCCTATATAGTTTCACATACATCAAATAAATACATTTTACAAGTTTATTTGCGATTTTTATTTCTTCACGTGAAACAATCGATATAATCATTGTTGATTGACGATCTTTCACAGGCAATTAAAACGAACCCTTTTTCCTTAATACGCCCCTCGCAAAATTTAAAAAACATTGCAAAGTTTATAAATTAAAACTATTTTTTTATCTTAGATCAACAATGAAATTAACAGTAATATTATTGTTCATAAGCTTCTCTAATGAAATCAAGGCTCTATCTAAAACAATTTATAAATCAGCACCTGATCATATAGAATGTAGCGCCAACAAGCTAATTTCCATTGAATATGTTGAAAGGAATATTAACATTTCAAAAGGAAAACATCATAGGAAATTTTCAAACATTTGCAACTATAATTTAACATTAGAAATTAAAGAGAATTGTGATGTTAAAATTTATTGTGTAATTGACGGAACAAAAGAATTACTTGGTGACAGCTGTGATAATTGGATCGAACTTAATGTGACTTATCAGTGTGTTGATCATGTTCATTATCTGGACCAAAAGCAACATTTCCTTACTTATCAGGATGATGATAAACTGACTGAACAAGATGCAAGCAATCAAAATAAAACTAGGACTAAAAGAGCTGCTAAATGTCCTAATCGTGTATTTGAAAGAAAACATGTTTGCAGAAATTGTCGATTCAATAATTTAAATGATGTTGTTAATTTTGCAAGAGCAGTTGAAGGAATAAGAGACGAAAATAATTGGGCAAACACAAACTTAAACTGTGTGTTTGCTGGGTCACCATCCTATACACCAAGAGGCACTCGATGTATATTTTCTAGACCAATTCGAAAATATAATTGCTATCGAAGAAGAGGAAATTGGAGTTGTTTTCTTGACGCTAATAGATATGCCACACATGATTTAAATTCAGGACATTATGATCATAGGCAAGATGTTTAAATAAAGAAAAAATAAAACGATTATTGCGATAAAGGTGATGAAGTCCTCGGTTCTTAAGAGTCAGATTCATCCAATCAGTGCCTTTTCATTGTTTTCGCTTTATCAACTTGATTTTTGAGAATATAATAAATTTTTCAGAATTTTCAGCTTTTAAAATTTATATTCGAATTATTTTGATAGAATTAAAAACACACATTTTATCAAAAACATATAGAAATCGAACAAATGAGTGTAATTACTTTATTGTCAAATAAATAATCAGTATAAATTCCAATAAATTCATTAAAAACTTACTGAAATTTTTAAACAAAAAAATTTTATGACATTAGATTTTACAAATAAATAAATATTATTAAGTCATGACTTGGTGCTGGGTCAGATATGACATTTCAATATCAGCTTCATGACTACATTACCAGAAATATGACAAACTAAATGAACAAGATAGAAGTGATCAAAATAAAATAAAGATTAGACGAGCTGCTAAATGTCCTAAAAGTATATTTGAGAAAAAAACATGTTTGTAGAAATTGTCGATTCAACAATAATCAAGGCGCGGAAACTATCCCAAATATCCCATATATCCCAAAAATATTCAAAATAATCCCTGAGCCTGTTTGCATTAGAATTGAGATATCCCATCATATCCTGAAATTACACGTCCAATACACTAAGGATACGTTGGGATATCTTTATTATCGTGCATACATGCTCAGGAATTTTTTGAATATTTTTGGGATATGTGGGATAAATATGATATTTGGGATAGTTTCCACGCCTTGACAATAATGTTGATGTTGTTGAATAAGATTTTTTTTTTAAAACAATCCTCATTTCTCATTGGTAGCAAAAAATCTTCAAAAATGGATCGCTCAGATCAAATGTCATATCCTGGTTCATAATGTCCACTAATTAACTGATGACTAGCACGTACATCGTTTGTTTCTTTATAACAAGTCCAAGTTATTGTTCCATAATGACAATTGTATTTTGGTAATGCTGAATAAAATTTACACAGAGTTCCAGCTTGTGTATAAGTCGGATTTCCAACGAATACAGAGTTAATATTTGTTGGTTTATAATTATGTTGATTTCTTAAGTTTGCAACGTGTATTGCAAAGTTAACAACGTCACTGTTGCTTTGACAATGACTACAAACGTGCTTGTCAACGAACGTTTGATTAGGACAAAATCTGTGATTATTTCTATTATTTTGAAATCCTACAGCAGCGAATGCTAAAAAGTGTGCTGTACAAGTTGCAGCTTTTGATCCATATTGTCTTTTAAATCTTAAATGTTCATGATCATCACTTCCTTTTTTCTTATTTTCATATTCAGAACAGTCCAGACACTCATATGTCACAATGAGCTTCATCCAGTAATTGCATTCGTCGCTGTGCAATGATATTCTATTTCCATCAATTTCACAGTTACTTTTACCATTACACATTTTTTTAACAGCTTCAGTCACATCATAAGTACACATGCCAATAAGGTTTCCCCAAAGAAAGAAATAATTTCGCCAGTTCGGAATAAAGCCATTTCTCCAATTAAGCTTGTTGTAAGTCCATTTACCATATTCAACGTAAATTGGCTGATTACTAGGACATTCAAAGTGATCATGTTCTCCTTCGTTAATAGTTTTTTCAAAGGATGCGCTAATTGCAGTAAAGACACTTAGTGCAATTAACGTTATTAAAATAAATTTCATCTTTGATGTTTGACTCTAGAAAAATAAAATCAATAAAATAAAAAATGAATTTTTGAATTTATTGCAAACCTACTTTTTAAAAAAACCAAATTTTAAGATTTAAATTTATCAAAATTCAAACTTCAACTGATGGATTGATTTGCTATTGATTCCCATTTTATACTCAATTGTTTTTAAATGAAATTTCATTAATACATTTTTAATTCAGTTCTTTTTAATCATTTTTTTCCGAAAAACCTAAATTCAGGAATTAAAAATATTACTTTTGTATTACTTTAGAAATACTTCAATATATATTTGGAATTTCCAATGACTTTCTGGATGATGCGCGCAGAACAGTGATGAAAAAATGTCAAATTGATGTGCGTACAGAGAATTTGTACAAACTAGGTGACAAGGGCAGCAACAGAGTTAGATGGAAAACCTATTCTTGTAACCTAAGCTCCTCAAAGAATTATGGTTACAGTAAGTAAGTAATCTCGACGATCGATATGAATTGAATTCATCCGACATTTACTAATCATTTCAAATAAAAACCTATAAAAACGGATGTTAAATAAGAATCTGAGTCAGATCTTATCATTGCTGATCGTATTTTCTTTTTACTGATCTGGCTTCCGTTGTTGATCTTCCTTCTTCTCTAAGGCTATATGCTAAGTAATTTTGTTTCAGTGAAATCTGCCTTTTACGTTTCAAATTGATTCATTTCTGTTTCATGATTTCTTACAGATTTGCATTATTAACTTCTTCTTATACTTTCATTCAAAACATAGTACGCGACATGATCAATCGATAGTTCATGACATGATGAATTTCCAATTCATATGACTTTTAAGCTTCCAACGTCGAAATAGTCATTTGAAAATCCAAATAATACGCATTGAAGTAATACAGAAGTAATATTTTTAATTCCTGAATTTAGGTTTTTCGGAAAAAAATGAGTAAAAAGAACTGAATTCAAAATGTATTAATGAAATTTCATTTAAAAACAATTGAGTATAAAATGGGAATCAATAACAAATCAATCCATCAGTTGAAGTTTGAATTTTGATAAATTTAAATCTTAACATTTTGTTTTTTTAAAAGTAGGTTTGCATTAAATTCAAAAATTCATTTTATTTTTTATTGATTTTATTTTTCTAGAGTCAAACATCAAAGATGAAATTTATTTTAATAACGTTAATTGCACTAAGTGTCTTTACTGCAATTAGCGCGTCCTTTGAAAAAACTATTAAAGAAGGAGAACATGATCAATTAGAATGTCCTCGAAATCAGCCAATTAATGTGAGATATGCTAAATGGACTTACAACAAGCTTAATTTGAAAAACACAGTTGTATCGAACTGGCGAAATTATTTTTATTATTATGGAGATCTGATTGGCTTGTGTACTTACGATGTGACATCAACTGTTCGTCAAATGTGCAATGGTAAAAATGTTTGTCAAATTGATGGAAATAGAATATCATTAAAAAGTGATGAATGTAATTATTGGATGAAGCTTATTGTGACTTATCAGTGTGGGGATTATAGTAAGTGATGAAATAAACTTTTATTACTTATTGAAAATATAATGTGGATCAAAAACTGCAATGCTATTGATTGCTTTATTTTTTAGAAATAAATAATAGTTTTGTTTAATTGTTGTTCCTTAAATTTACGAAAAGTAGCTAAGTTTGTATTTTTTTCTTTCTTAAATTAAGTTTTTCATTTCTGTCCCTTGCTTGGACCTGTAATGCAGTGACACAAGACAACATCCAATTGAATCTACTGAACATATATCCGAACATACAAAGAGCATGCTCAGAAAAGTGAGCATATAAGTGAGTCTACTCAAAAATTAAACTCGTGCAAGCTCATTCAACTAAGCATGCTCAAGAGTTCATTACGAATGTACTCACTTTATTTTTTTACATTTTCAAAAATGTCGACCAACTTAAAATCGAACTTAGAATACATTTTTATGCAAGTCGACATTTTCAAAAATGTCGATCAACTTAAAATTAAACTTAGACTACGTTTTTATGCAGGTTGACATTTTTTGAAAATATTTTATGAATTCAAATATTAGTTCCATGAAAGCCAAAAGATTTTGATCGTGCTTAGTTCTTATAGTTTTTTAAAAGCAAAGTAAGACTAATATAAAAATGTATTTGATGTTCGATTTTAAGCTGGTCGACATTTTTGAAAATGTCGACTTACATAAAAATGTGTTCTAAGTTTAATTTTAAGTTGGTCGACAATTTTCGTAATATGTTCTCACGATCGTGCTCTGATCAACTCAAACATTTCATAAAAATATAGTTCAATCAAACTTCAAAGAACCTAGTTTGCCTGTAATAATATAATAATTTAAGTATGTGTTTTGCCATATAAAAATTATTATATATTTACAGAAAATTGCTACAAGGAAAAGTGTGAGGCGACAGAAGTTAAGCAACGCAATAGGTTTTTCTACAAGGATGGGTGACCGGTTTTTGAAACTTCCTTCTTAAGTATTTGAGACAAAATGTTAATAATAATTTCTAAATATTCCAAGATTATTCCATATATCTTTTGAGTATCTTCATGAGTATAAGCTCTTTGAGAATGTTCATAAGTATATTCAATAAAAAATGTTGCCTTTAAAAAATGTTTCGTGTGGTATGTAGTCTTCTCATTTGAGTAGGCTTATGAGTTTACTCAGTGAGCTTAATGCATGTCACATAGGAATGTGCTTACTGAGCATACTCAAAAAGGTACCGTGATCTCATCACTTTAATGTATGAAATGAGCACATTCTCACAAAAGTTTACAAGCTCACAAATAAAGTGCTCTGAGTATACTCATTGTATGTTCGGGATTCTTAATCGTTTTATCATCACTACATACAGAAAATCTTTATGTGCTACGTATTTGTCAGTGTATAGGTATGTTTTTACTCATTTCAAAAGTGCTTATCTTTTGTTAAATGATACAGTCAGTATGAATTTCTCAAATGGATCAGAATCAAGTGGATATTAAGGTCTTATTCTTTGCGATTTCACGAGAACTTGCAGGGATAAGTGAGTCACATATTAAAGTTAAGTCAAGAATTACTTTTGAGGAGTTAAAACTTGAAATTTGCAATAATTTTGGACTGGAAGTGATAAAAAACAACATTGTCTTAGCTGTCAATCACGAATACGTGGAAAGTGGTGACATTGTATTGAAAAATAACGACGAACTTGCTGTGATTCCTCCATTGAGTGGTGGATAAAGATCCAGTATGGATTTCCTTAAACTTACTTTCGACAAATTAGATCCAACAGAAATTAGTGAGCTTTGTGCACATGAAAGCTGTGGTGCTGTATCTCTATTTATAGGAACAACTCGTGATAACTTTCAGCATAAACAAGTGAGGACTTGACATTAATATGAATTTAATGACTGTAAAATGACAATTTTTCTAATTTCAAGGTCGTCAAGCTAGAATATGAAGCATACAATGAAATGGCAAAAAAGATCATGTCCAAGATATGTGATGATGTGAGACTAAGCTGGCCAGATGTTCAAAATATGTGCATTTATCATCGACTAGGTGAAGTTCCTGTAAAAGAAGCTAGTGTCATTATTGCTATCAGTTCACCACATAGGCAAACCAGCCTTGAAGCCCTTCCATTCGCATTAGATCATTTAAAAAAGTCAGTTCCAATATTCAAAAGGGAATATTATAAAGACAATGAAGGATCCAGTGAATGGAAGGAGAATCCAGAATGCACTTGGTCGAAGAAGAATAGGCAGTTGATTGATGAGCTATGAGCAGCTAGGAAATGTTTTAATGTTGTTAACTTTTATTATGTATGACTAGATTAGACGGGAAATGGAATTAAAAACCAATTTTACACGAAATAAACTTTTTATGATACGAATTTATTTACAAATCAGTTGTTCTATAATAAATAATTAATTAATTTAATTGACATCATCTGGAAGTAAAAGAGCTTAGATTAAGTCAAAAGATCCAATTGATAAAATTTCAGATTCTCACTTTTTCCAATCTTGAGTCTGTGGAAGCAATTTAAGCTCATCTCTCTTCGGTTTTATAAAGTTTGGTAGGAAATGAGACACAACAGCAGCCACTGCTATGCAGCTAAGTGGAATCAAATACTGTTTCTTTAATAAAGCCATTATTGCTGGATATTTTTTACTGGAACATTAATTGCTAAGAAAAGGAGACATTTTTGCACTTTGGATGTTTGGCTGATAAATGTGGAATGTTCCTTATCATTCAAAGATGTGAGGCAGTTATATAGATTAGATGGAATATGGTTAATTACAGTAGAATTTTGTGAAATATAACATGTAAACAAATAAGAAATGTCGTTCAGTAAGACAACTTCATTTCATTCCAGTTCAAAAAGGTCATAGCCCCTCGTGCATAAACGTGTGAAAAAATTTCATTTGATTAATTAAATAGTTTCCAAGTTATTTATAGTTGTTTAAACTATTTATTTAAGTACACGGTGCTGTATGCTGCCCATTAGGAATGAAGAGACGCAAAAGGAAGCAGGATTTAAGTCCAAAAATGGACTTTGATGAAATCCCGAGTGGATCAAAACAAAATCTCAAGAAACAAAGAAAACAAGTACCAGAAAAAAAACTCCACGGTGGAACCTTAAGTTCCAGTAACAGCTGCAAAGGCTGAAAAGCCTTTGTTCATCCAGCAAAATATTAATGAAGTGAGAAAAATAATTTCACAAATCAATTTGCAGGTTAAGCCTGCATTTAAAATTTCATCAGTGGCTACAACACAAGTCATAGTCAATAATGTTGAGGACAAGGCCTCAATAATCAGCAAATTGCGGTCTCAATGCATCCCATTTCACACTTTCTCCGAGAAATCGGAGAAAACAAAGTCATTCGTTCTGAAAGGATTTTACAAAACACCAACGAATGAAGTACTAAGATTACTTCAAGAAGCCAAGGTTTTAGCTGTCAAAGTGACAATTCTCGTCAAGAAGCCCGAGTTCACCTTTTATCTTGTGCATTTTCAAGATGAAAGTGTGAACATCAACGTGCTCAATCATAAGCTTAAAAAAAGCTTCTTTTTTTTTCTCGCTCGGCAATTTTTTTAAACTTTTTATGCCACATTTTCATGATGTATGTAAATCTCATTCATCAAAATTAATAATTAATCAAGATATAGTTGAATTAAAGCCATATTCAGGCTGGTGTCAAAATAAGACTCAAAGAAATGTAACTTAAACTACAATAATTCCAAATTTGAAATAAAGAAAGATTATCTTTCCAGTTCATTTTTTTCAAATTTAAAAAATACGTTAAATTTCAATTAATTTTAATCAGCCTTAATTAGACACAAAATAAGTAATCATATGAATTGAAGTACTTCAAACTCAATATCATTTGGAATGCGCTTTGGACATTCAAGTCTGAGATCCTTCCATTCAAAAACATATGATCATACTGGTTATGTTCAGTAGCTGAAAAATTTCATAAATTTGCAGTTTCTATTTTAATTAATTTATTGACAGACTTCAATTCACAAAATATGCAAAAATTCTACAACTAAAATGCCTTAATCGATTCCAACTGATCCCTAGTGTTGTCATCCATTTGATTCGTACTTTTTCTGTTGCGTTTCTTGTTCCTGCTGAAATACATAGTTCGCAAATTCCTCATTTCTTAGATACGTCTTTCTTTTTAAGTACGGCGATACATAAAATTTATATCCAATTGTGATGAAGGTCAATGATGACAATGCACCGACGCAAAGGTACATCAGCCTCTTTATTTGAACTGCTTTATTGTTCATCTGGATTTTGAATTCAATTAGATATTTTGTGGATTCAAAAGATATTTGACTTACTTTGCTTGTTGTCCTTCTTTGCTGTTAATTCCTCGTCGATGTAGCGTTTCAACAGTGGATTATAGATATAAATACCAGACAGTGTTCCTATTAATGATACCACAATAATTGTTGTCCAATTAAAATTTCTTGGTTTTCTTATTCTTAGCATTCTTTATTTGTTTATTTTTAAAATGTCTATAGTTTTTAAGAATAACGGACAAAAAATATTTAAAAACTTTTAAAAAAATAACAAAGTTCAATATTAGTCGTTTTTAACGGAACTCTAATATTCAAAAGTACCGCAAAGTTCAATAATTGAACTGAATTATACAAAATATAATAATCCGTTGAAATTTAAAAAGTCAGTTGAAAATAATTTCAAAATCTTAACTTGCTCACATTTGCTCAATATTCCTCTCAGCCAATCACAATTTCTCTCTCTTCTCACGATTAAAAGAGAGTAACATGCAGCCAACAATATTAAAAAAAAATACATGTAGTTCCTTTAGTCTCAAAGTTTATGTTAAAAAGTAAAGTAGATATGAAAACATTGTGAAATAAATAATAAAAAAAATAAAAGTTTTTAAGTATCATATCGTGCCGGTATTGAATGAATATAGCAAATGAATGTGGATTGATTCTAAAAAACATAGAACAAAATTCTGTAAGTTACAGTTGACTTTAAAATTTTTAACTTCAATTTTTTTCATTGACCATTCGACGAAGAAATTTTTATTGATTTTTCTGCTACATCTGACTTACTATACATGCTTAATTCTTGTCAGATTTTTTTTTGCCTTGTTGTAAGCGAACTTTCGTGTCTTTATGCATAATTAAAAATGTGTGATAAGATAGGCAAGTAATTGTGGGAATGTACTATTAATGCTAATGGAACATAGAAAAGACTTTATATGATTCATTCATGACTACAGACAACGCGACACATCCCATAATTTTTTTTCTCTCCTTTCATCGATTTTCAAGGTCTCGATGAGATTCTGTGTGCAGTTGTGCATTGCTGTCACATGTACAGCTGTTTCTAGGCCTCATCTTGCTTGCGACATTTAATTTACATTCCATACATGATGTAGAAAATTTTAGGGGTTATGAGGATTGGGATTTTGATGTAGATGTTGGACTTTAATAGTTTAGTAGAGGATATTACGAAGTTTTTGTGCAGGTACAAAAAGCTTGATATTAAGAATTTTGGAAACTTTCGATTTGCATTTTTATCTTTGAATTTATCTCAATATTTACAATTTGAGGAGGGGGGGGGGGGGGGGGGGGGGTCTGAAACATTTTTGTAAATATTTCAAAAAATTATTAAATCCCCTAGACATTATGAACCCCTAAAACATTCCATTGAAACATCATCCTTGTTTCCAGAATCCCCAAGCAGCAACAAATAAATATTTGCATATCGTATTCACAAAAAGATACAAAAAACACATGGTTTTTGCTGAACCTATGAAAACTACACTGTGTCTCGTTTCTTATGTCTTTTTATGGTGCTGACGTACGTGCTTTTTATCTATTTTTATCGACTAATAAAGCAAATGTTAAATTGTCCGTATTAGCAAAAGCCTGAATCGAAGTCTGATTAAATATTCATAAATAAAAATTTTCCATCAGTTTGCATCAATCGATTTGCTTAAATAATAAAAGATTTACGTGTACAAAAGTCGATGTGCTCAAGTAAAGACAATTTGTGGAAAACATGAAATCGAATGTTTCTTTTTTTTATCAATTTTTATTCAATTTCGTCACACGTTTATTGTTGTTGATAATGTCTTCTTGTTGTTCTTGGTGAGATTGTATTGCCATTGAGACTTAGAAGAGAAAGATTTATGCTCGATTATGTGCGGAAGAGAAGTTTTATTAGTTTTTCGGAGATTTAAGAATTTAATAAATTAGTTTGGATGACAAAATTCTTAAATTTGAACTTAAAATCTTTATTTTGGCGCCAAAATTATTAAGTTTGCAATTCTTTAACAAATCATGCTTAAAGACGTTTTCCTTCCAAATGAAATCTAATCTTGGTCACTCAATAATCAAACTATTCAAAATGGATAAAGCTAAAGTTTTATTGCTACGACGCCATTCAGTCTACTTAATTAGAATCTGTCTGCTTTAAAATTCGTTCATTCATGAGTTTTGTGAAAATAAAAATGGAACAAAAACACACCTTGACGAGACTTGAACGGAATCATTATGATTATTTGCAACTATGAAGCTATAAAGTGACTTATTGATTGTAAATTATTATTTTTCAATGTCAAAAACTGAGTCTGAAGGGCTGGAACTTTTGCAAGGCTTATTGAGAAATGTTGGGTCAAGACCTGTTTATAGCTTGTTGGTCACATTATATAACTTAACATAAACTTCCCTATTTTCAGAAATGCACTGAGTTTTTAACATTAATCGGTGGTCACCCTACCGACGAATCACAATAAACACAAAATTACAAAATAAAACACATGAAATTTGAATAAAAATTTAATAAAAAAAATTAATTCATAACATTTTTAAATTGATTCCACAAATAGAAGCTAACGTTCTAGTAACCAAGTCAGGCGACTATCTAATCGAATCGGAAGTTATTGCACTTTACATTTTCGTAGCTATGCACAAAAATCGAATTAGAGATTACGCCACGACGATAAGAGAGGATAAATTTATTCACCAGGTTGTTGCTTCCATGACATGAAAAAAGAGTCATGAAAGAAAATTTATTGTAAATATTTAGAATCGAAAAGTTTATTCATGAAATTTTGTTGTTGGGGGATTTTTGGGAAATGATGTTCAGTATTTTTGGGGAGAATGGAAAGAGAGTTGGGGTTTGGTAATGCTGCTTCATAATACTTCTTAAATCTGCCTTTGAGCATTCTAAGATTTCTTGACAATTTTGCCATTTTTCTATCGAAGTTTACAAATTAAGTGACAAAAAGTGGAGATTATTATGCAATCCTAAGGAGCACATATCCGATAATCGAGACGAAATCCTTCGCTAGTACGCTTTGGACTTTGTTGTGACTAGAAATTCACACTCAAGTCTTTCTAGAGTAGGATTTCGTCTCGATTATCCGACTTGTGCTACTTAGGTATGCCACTTAGGGACTGAGCTTATCCTCCTGACCAGGGGCGTAGCCAGGGGGGGGGGGGGGGGGGGGGGCATAGGGGGCCCGGGCCCCCCCTACGAAAATCTGATAATTGTTTTATTAAGTTTTTATAGAGAAGAACCAGTTAATGTAGAGGAAGTGATGAAAGAAATGTCAAAATCAGCACGAAAAATTAAATTTAATGTATGAATAATGAATTAAATATTTAAACTTATGAAGAATGAATATAGATTTAAGGATACAAAATAACGGTTTTTTTAATTTTCGAAAATGGGCCCCCCCCCCCCCCCCTTAAAAATTTTCTCCTCCTGACTACACCCTTGCTTCTTACCTAGCTCTTGAGTTCATTATCTGAGTCTAGCTTTAAAACAACTGCGTAAAACTTAATCTCTAGTTGAAAATTAAGTTTCTTAAAACACCAATTTTCCATACACATCATTCATGAACGACTCTAGTCAATAACGCAAAACAATTCACGAAATACTTTTATAATTGAAGCTCAAGATGCCACCAAAAAAACCTTTAAAATAATTCTGTTCTCAATCGAATTCTTTAAATTTCAACGAAATAAAAAATTATTTCGCTACTAAATTGGATATAAGAAGAAGAACTTGACATTCTATAGCAGGAAAATTTATACGTCTAAAAATAAAACTCTAAAGTGCGAGCAGCTTGTAAAAAGAGATCATTAGAGAAAACATTTGAAGCGTGATAATGAAATGCTTCGTGAAAATGCCAAACAGAATTTTAGCATGAAAATAGTCAGCGAGACTAGTAGGTCACCAACAAGCATCTCAAATTATCGATCGTGAATTAGTTGTATCACGAAGATTATGCTATTTTGCATGTCAAATTATTGCTTTTCGTTTCTTATTTTTCTTTCAAACCAAACTGCATGCAAATATGTCTTCAATCAATCAACACTTCAATGAGCAGTTTAAAAAAGTAGTTTAATGAAATTTATTTCCTTTAAGAGATTATTTTGAAGGTCTTGTTTGAATTTGATTTCGGAAATGTTGGAAGAATGCATCGTTTGAAGAAAAATGGCAACAAATGTTGTTGGAAACTTTTTATTTGCTTTACGGAAATTGGAGTTGCGTGAGGTTTTTAAAAGAATTTGATGATTAGAGCGCAATCATGAACAAGGTTCAAGGATTTGAACTCATTACAATAAGATTTTATTATATTTTCGTAATTCACGTAATTCCATTAATTTTCACTCTAGACAAAATCTCTATTTAGAGCAGGTTCGAGTTTCAACAAGCTAAGGTCAAATTGAATTAATAATTCCAAAATGAATGCTTAATCAGACAATTCTCTTCAAAATCATGTTATCTAAAATTAAAAAGCCACACTTTCCAAACATAAAGTTGTTTAAGTTACAAAGCCATGTTAAATTTTAATTAAGGGCAAATCCATGAATAAACGGTCCTGCGAAAATGGACTAAGAATTCTTCTCAACTTGATAAACTCAAAAAAACCGCTTCCTGAATTATTTTAGTTATCAAGAACAGTGCCAATTTACATATTTTAGATCTATGATGGCTAATGGCTAATGATCTAATTTAAGGCTTAAAAAATTAAATTTATTTTGTTTGTAGACAAATTTTAACGAATTTTTCTCTTTCAAACCGTTTTGGAATCATTTGTGTTTTGCAATAATGAGTCAAAAAATTAACAAACTGACGCTAATTTTGTAAATATTTCTTTAATTAAGCATTTTATTGAGAAAGAAAGAACACATAATTAAAGCTAAGACGAGCGAAAATCTAATGTATATCTTTTCTCGACGGTAAAATGCATATTTAAGCAGAAAATGGAAAAAGTGTAAAATTCAATTTTCGTAGAGTTAACAATCAGACGCTCTCCAAATTGAAATAACTCATTAATTAAAGCACATAGAAAGCTGAATCATTGAAAAAAATATTAAAATTAAGTTTTTCTATCATATTGAGTTTCAAAACACAAAGTAAATCAAGCCGTTTTTGAGAAATTTGCAAAAGATGTGGTTTTTTGGAGAAAAATTCTTTCGTGGATTTGCCCTTAAACTAGAAAAAATAAAATGTAGTCAATGAAGGACAATATCTTCATTCTTCGATTGTTATCATACTGCATTGCGAAAATTTTATTCATTCATGCATGTTGGAACTTTGCAAGATCATGATATAAACTAATAAACGCCATTGCCTTGATGCAAGTGCCAGGAATAAATTTATATTTCTTATCGTGTTGTAAAGGCTTTTGTAAAAGAATCAATGCTCATTCAAAAATCAGTGTCACGTGTCTAGCTTCCGCAAATGTATGGAACAATGCATGGCATAATTTGCATTTTTGATAGGTTGATTAGTCAGCTTATTGGATGGCTAGACTGTTAATTGCATGGGAGTTGTTCTGAAATGTTTCAGCATGTTTAATATCTAAATTCCTCAATGTCTAGCAAGTCAGCAACTTTCATAAAATTCATTACCAAAACCACAGCATTCCACCGACTTTTAAGTCATAAAAATGTCTTCACGCACCTCATTACAAATTTATTCAGCACTGA